AAAAAAGAAAGAATTTCCGCGAAAACTCGGAGTCAGATTCCATATCCAGAATTCTTCGGTATATATGACAGAAATACATGACTATATTTATAACGACAAGTATGAAAGAAAACGAGTCACAGCTATTTACGCAGAAACAGAGATAAAGCGTGTGGATGAAGTCAAAACCTCCCACACGACCACACATATGGTACTTTTGTCTTTTAAAAAAACTAATAAATCCTAACGAAGAATATAAAAAAGCGAGCGAAAAGACGGAATTCATCATCTCTCTTTTTTAGTCTCTATGTATATGAATATGGGGAAAGGGATAAAGAGAGAGGGACTGAGAAAAATGTCGCAGTGCCAAAATCTGATGCCCTGGGAATCATGATGGATGCACGTGGTTGCACACTTTTTTTTATATATATCTCTTCCCCTCGTCGCACATTTTTCTGTCACTTTTCTTCTCTTTTCTGAGTCTTTGTGAACCTGCCAAATCCGTCTTGTTTCCGGCTGGGATTTTTCCTTGATAAAGAAGGATCTCTGTGTGTGTGTGTGTGTGAGACCAGAAGGTGGCTGGAACTTGTTGGAAAATACATGTGTATATGGACTATGGGTCTGGTCACCAGTGTTACCAAAGGTATTGTTGTCTTAACCAGCAAATAATTCAAGGTTTAGAGTCATTGATCAGACAAATCTTTTACCAAATCAGAATATTACCAGCAATGACTATTGAGGTTGAAGATTTGAATTGTTTTCCGCAAGCTTTTGCAGAGTTAAGAATTACTTCAACAGAATTGTACAAGTGAGTTTTATTCTGTTTCACAAAGGGTAGACTCTGGAGCAGAGCAACAACAAGGTTCCACAATGAGTTTTTGGTCTGAGTAAACTTAACATTGCATACCAGACACTCGTATATATAGGCAATCCTGCTTCAAGGTCAACTCCAAGCATAGCAACTGATTTGGATCGGTGTTGACATACTTTGTTGCATAGCAACCAAGGTAAAAGGCGCACAGCATGGAAAGACTTTTGAATGAAGGAAGTAAGAAGGTGCGGTTGTGCAGCAGATTAACCCTTGGACGGCGGAGGGTTCTTTCCCATAGCAGGACGGAGTAGGATTATTTTTGTATCCTCCCGCATTTTCAGTCTTGGGAAGGTCACCAAAACCCTTCCAGGTGGGCTGAGGCAAAGTTGGGATTAATCCGAAAAAAGCCAGTAGCCTAACTGAGAGTTTTTTTTTTGCCAACAAAATTTTTCTGTTGGGAGGGAAAAAAACGCCGGGATTATTCTGGACTTTGCCCTTGGCTCCCTGTCCTCATTTTTTTCTTTACCTCTCTGAGGTGGTACAAAATTTCGCGAAAATAGTCCGACTTAGCCGTCCAAGGGTTAACAATGTGGAATGGAACATGAAGTAGACAAGGGAACAATACAAAGTGCTTTATATTGTAGTCATGATATTTATTGGACTACAGTATTTCTTTTCTGTGCACAAATCTTGGCTGTAAGACATATCAATGACTCCATTTCACAGCATATATTGCATTCCTGGTGCATAGGTTAGAAAAGTTACCATCAGAAAATCATTGCTGTGTTTCTGTTATACAGTACAGTTTTTTTAAATTCTGACTTGTGTGTCGACAAAGTTTTAGAATTACTGTTTGTTACACTTTTCCTTCAGCGACTTATTTCCATGTTTTACTCAATAGAAAAAAATTAGATTTTGCGCAAAAACGATTTTTGACAGGAGTATGCCTGTACTGCAGAGGGAAAAAGCTCCATCAGGTAGGGTGGACATCCTTGATTATTTCCTGTTATTTTTTTTAAATTGCACATAGTGTTCTATTTTAACCCTTGGACGGCGAAGAGTTCTTTCCCATCTCCAGCCAAAATTGGATTATTCTTGTATGCTAAGGCGTTTTCATTTTTCTGAAGGTCAGAAAAGACCTTCCAGCAGGTGGGCTGAGGCAAAGTCTGGATTAATCCAATGAAGAGCCCATTGCTTAGCATAGCATTTTTTTCATTTTCCCACAAAATTTTTCTGTACAAAAAGAAAAAAACATCGGGTTTTTCCCCTACTTTTTCCTCAAATCCCTGTTCTTTTTTATTTTCTGCCCTGAGGTGCAACAAAATTTCGCAAAAATAGTCCAACTTCACTGCCCAAGGGTTCATCTGTATTATCATTAAGTACTCAATTACTTGACTGCTTTGCAAGTAAATAGTAAATTTTCATGTTGTATTTTTTACTTTGATCATTTTTATTTACATTGGGTGTAACTGGGCTGGATCATTTATATTTTTTTGCTGGGAACACACCCTTTTTGCCTTGACGGGTGTGATAGAGATTAAATCCACCCTGCTTCTAAATCCGGTGTGTGGAAAAATCCCAATATGGGTCCAAGAATCTGGTGATAAAAGTGTGTCTGTGGCTGTTCTTTTTTCAACCCATTTTGAAAACTTAGGAAAAGGTAGGAATGCCTTTCTCGAGGGTCTGAGAAAGATATAGCCTTCAGTTTGGTGTCTAATCTCCAACATTACTTTGAAGCTAAGCTGTGCATGTTTCCACTGTTTTTCAAAGTTTAACTTCACTTCTTGATGTCAGAAGAATGATGCTTGAAGATCCTGGATATATTAGAAAACATCCTGGTTTCTCCTGAAATAAAGAAAACAGGCTTTTGAAAGTTGGCAACGATGGGAATGTGTGACCAGAAGCCTACTGAACTCTGTCCAGAAGTCAGCAGTCATGAACTTTTTCATGCTCTAGCTGCCTGCTGCGGATGCTGGCCTGCACAACAACAATAAAGAAATATCATCCTTCTACAGGGTCTTTGTGTCACAGTGAGGAAAACTCGGATGAGAAGTCACCCCAGGAATGACAATTAAAAAAAGCACAGAGAAGCAAAATGTATAGGTCCTGGAATAAAAAGGGGGAAAAAATATCATGGAATTCCAGGCGCGTTTTTAAAAGGGGCTGGAATAAGAAGGGGGAAAAGTGATTTGCCATTCTTGGCATTGAGAGTGGACCTGATGGTGGCATCATTTCCTGGACCATTTCCAGTTATTTCTCTCCATGTATAGAAAGGCAACTTTGAAGGAGAAAATTTTAAACTTTTTGTGCTGGCCATGAAACCAGCTAATAGCAGTTATACCCTTTGTGAATGCACTCTCAACTTTTCACTCCTCCTCTGAACCAAAATGTCAAAAAAGAGAATGTGCTGTAATCTTTTCAATTTATTTCATTTTCCGCAAAAAAAAATCTCTGTTGAGCAATTTCATCTTCAGCTGTTCAGAGCAAGTCTGGTGCTTCAATCTTTGAAACTTCAAAGACACCCTTTTTTAATGCTTGATCAGCAAGTATTGCATCATAATTGGCTTCCTGCTGTCTTTTTCACAGCTTCTTTCAAGAATGAAAAAATAGACAATTTACTGTACAGGGAATACAATGAAAATGAGAGAAATGAAAGAATAGAAAAAACAGAGAATCAAATTGTTTTTTGTCCTCCTAACTGAAAGAAAATATTGCATCATAATTGACTGCAGGTGTCCTGCTGACATCTTCACAGCTTCTTTCAAAAATTGAAAAAATTTCAAGATATATGCAGAGGGAAAAAAGGAAATGGTAGAAATGAGAGAGGAGAAGAAAAGAGGATCATAGAGGATCTTTTTGGCCTTCTGACCTCCACTGGCTGGCATCACGCTGCATTTGACGCCCTCAACACTATTTCCCCTGCTTTATTCCTTCTTTCCATCAGACACACACACACTCACACACAAAATGTTCCTCCTTTTCCCCTCAGGGCCTGTCCTGATTTTCAATTTCCCCGCCTTGGTTGAATGACTGAGTTTCCTCTCCCAGAGTATTTGGTTTGCTCTCAGACTGTGACATACAGACGTTTTTATAGCTCAGAACCACCATCTTTCTTCTTATTGCCTATTGTCTCAAGGAATAATAAAGAGTAGCCTCTCTTCTTCTTTCTTTTTTAAATATCCCTTGTGCCAAATGTTCACTGACTCTCAAGTACTCATTACATACAGCTCTTTGAGGATGTATACCAGCTCTGTGACTGAGACATTTCTCTTTTATTTTTGGAAGCATGTAGCATTGGTGTCTTCTGTGGAAGGAAAGAATCATTCATGCTTGGTATGAAAATTTTATACACAGAGACATGCAAAGCAAGGGATTTTGCTCCTCTGTAAATCCAGCCTATGTGGGAAAATCCCTTCAACCCTGTTTGCATACACACCATTTCCTGTCTTCTGGATATTGATCTGGAGATTGGATCCTGGCTTTGGTGGCTTTTCAGAGGAGGAAAAAGAGCCATGTTTCTCTGGAATATATTTTCTCACACTTGCTATAAGGGAGCTGTTGATTGACAGGGGACTGATAGAAAATGCCAACCTTCATTAACCTCATTCACTGGGAAATTAATAAAGGGAGCATTTGGCAGGAGGTGTTTTGGACAGGCTGAGTTAGGTTAATCACTTTAGTGGTGGAAATTGTGGACAAGATGTGCGATAACTCGGATTCCCCAGGGAGGGAAGTCCTGAGGAAGGAGCTGGCAAAGCTGGAGGAGGAAATTTACCAGCTGAAAAAGCAGAGGAAAGAGAAGAGAGACGAAATTTACAATGTAATTCTTTCGTTGGGTTTTTTCTTTAATTTACAGTTTTTGTTGTATATTTTCTAGAAGTTTAGTTAACTTTTTTTAATTGTTCTGAATAGATGAAGAGGGATTTGGGGGTGTCGCTGCTGTCTGAGTTTTACTGTGAAGTGAAGACTGGCCTGAGTGGGCTGAGGAAAGATCTGGACCAAGATATTTCCAGGGCGGCCAGGGACTTGAAACAGGGCTTTGCAGGTCTCATGGTCCAGCTCAAAGACAAGTGCTCCTCTCAGGGCCAGGCCAGAGAAACTTGATCTTTTTTACTCAGTCCTGTTTATCAACTTCTGAGTGGAACATTTTTCAAAAATCTGGCATATTTTTGTTTCTATCTTGTTTTTCTTCTTCCTTTACCATTGTCATCAAATTACCTCCACTGAGCTGAAAAATTGGGAAATGTATTTTCTTATATATATTTTCATTTACTTCTAATGGGGGAATACATTTTTGAAATGTTTGATTCAAGGTTGAAAGCAAAACTATAGTTTTTGCTGCACTGCTTTCTTTCATGTTTAGTGGTGCTAGTATAGTGGACAGCATTATTATTAACATAATTTTATTTAACGTCCGCAGTGGGAGGAATGAGCAGTAGGATCCTACAGGGGTCTGGGGGGCAATAATAAGGACGTTGTGTAACGTGTGTCTGTGGCCTATCAATTTTGCACCTTGTTTACTGTTTGTCTGAAAACGCATCCATTATATTAAGTTGTCAGGATGGCCGAGTGGTCTAAGGCGCTGCGTTCAGGTCACAGTCTGGTTCTGAAGGCATGGGTTTGAATCCCACTTCTGACATTTGTTTTTTCAATAAAAGAAAAGAAAAGATTTACACTTGGTGCACTGCGGACGCTCTACTACTTGTTTTAAGGGGCTATGGTGAAATGCGCATGGATGCCCCAAGAATTTTGAATTAATTAGGAATTTGAAAATCTACAGCAGTTGAAATGTGGCTGGAGTCAAGATCAGTTTTAATTTAACCTTTCATTTTGTTTTTGCAGTGGCCATTTGAAAATATCTGTATGAAGGATGAACCATGTAATTATCAAATTAGAGAGAAATTTTGAGTTTAAGATGTCTGAGCTGTAAATAATGGATTTGGCTCAGAAAAATTGCTCTTTTTTATTTGAATTGTTTTGAATTGAATTTTTTTAGAAGCTCAAATACCAGCAACTGATAATGTGTGCTGAAATTTGAAAGTGTTCAAAATATATGACCTCCAAACAACCACATAGACAAGTTTTTTACAGTATAAATGACATGGATTTAAGTGCACTCAGTTTTAAAAAGAAATGAAGTCTGGATGTCATTCAAAAAAGCAGTTTACTGCAGGGAACAAATATAAAATGTTGCCAGGAAGTGTCAAGCACCATCAAACCGTAGATAAAACAACAACAAGGTTAATGATTCAACAAACAGATTGAGCAATTCTTGCAAGAGGTAGCACATGAAACATTGCTCGCTTAAAGATGTCATCATGACTAGTCTCCACAAAGGAAAGAGTCTGGAACATTGGGCTGATTCTTTTCTTTTTTGATGAAGTTGCAGCAGGATAATGCCTCAATCAGCAGTTAGCCACACTGCAAGAACAGGAATCACAAATGCTCAGACCTTCCTGAGCTCCACAATGTTGTCTTCAATGATTCCTTGCTCTGAGGAGTCCACTGGAAAGTCCTCTGGAGCAGCTGCCTCAGGGAAGCGCTGAATGTAGTTGTTGCTGACTGGTGGGCGCTGCTGCTGCTTCTGCTGCTGGACTGACTGTGGCAACAAAACACTGCCCTCTCTTTCATCCTCTTCTTTTTCTTCTTGTACTACTTCTTGCACTACCTCTTGGTAGACTGCTGGTCTCTGGGTGGTAGTGGTGGTTATTGTGGTTGACCCTGCAACACCAGAAACATAATTTACTCATGATGAAAGTACTGCGTACAGGTGGTACCTTGCAATTTGACCATCCCTCAATTTGACAGACCAATTTGCTGGGAGGTTATGACTTGCAATTTGACTTAGGTCCCACAATTTTACCCAAAGAAATGTGCAGAAGTATCAAATACAATTCAGAAAACATAATTGCATTTTATGCTGCTTTGCAATTTGACCACTTTGCAATTCAACCCTATAGTCCAGCAATATATTAGGGTTGAATTGTGGGGCATTACCTGCACCAGCAATGTTACAATGAGTTGTATGGTACCATGAACTGCTTAGCAACTATTGAAAGCTATAATGTTCTAATGGGAAATTCTCAGCTCAGAGTATTTATTGCTTGCTTTATTGCTTATTGCTAAAAGTTGCAATGAATTTTATTTTCTTTATCTGCCATTTTGGAAAGACTATGGCAGCTGAAATGATGAAAAATGAAAGTTGACATTTATCCTAATAATACTTCAGACAAATTGTCACCTTCTGAAATGAATTGTTTTAATTTTTCACTCTGGTAAACCTTTCATCAAGCCCAAATTTATTATTTTTGGAAGACATTCCACTATACAGCTGCTTCATTGGTCATTAATTGTTGCAAAGAGGAGAATAATTGTTGATTCATGTCATAAAGTCTTTCAAGCACAACTTTTTTGAGACTGGAAAAATTGTATGAAAATTGCAAGTCCACAGAACATTTTTGGGAAATTTGCCGGTCCACAAAAACATTCATGGAAATTTACAAGTCTGCAGGTCCAAAAAGGTTGGGCAACACTGGTTTAGGACACCTTTTGTCCAGTGCACACATTTGGCCAGGCGGTTTATGTCTTGTGTTTGGTAAGATCAAAAATGTTTCTAACAGACTCTGGGTGATTCTTGTGTATCACAGACCAAAAATGCCAACGTACCATAGTTTGAAGATTCTCTCAGCTTCAGGCCAAACTCTCCATTATTGTTCACAAAAACCACCTTTTGGCGAGGACTCAACAGCTCCTCTTCAACCACCTCAGTGCTGGTCTCATACACTGGTCTTGCAGTGGTAGAGTAGGTCTGTGTGCTGTAAGTTGGTCTCTCAGTGACTGAGTAGGTCTGTGGTGCATTGTAGGTTGGTCTTGCTGGTCTTTGAGTGGGTCCAAAGTTTTGGAAAGATGTTGGTGTGTACCTGCTGCACAACAGTAGAACAAAAATCAGCTCCTAGACATTTGCGCACATCCTATTGCAAAATTGCAATATTCTATTTCAACTTACTTTGTGCTTTGGTAAGTTGGTCTGGAGGTTTCATAGGCTGGAGATGGTGTTGCCTTCTCAAGAGGTACTCCATAGGATACCTGAGGACCAGAATAATGAGTGATATTATTATGTCTGTAATGGATTTTGAATAGAACATTTCACCTGTTCATACTGTTCCCTTTCTGTGGACACATCTTGAGGTACATGTACTTCAGCTGAAGTACTCAACTGAAACATAAAATAATGCAAGAAGGTTTTGAAATTGGTGCAATTTGGTTATGGTTGATGAACAAACCTCTTTGCTGATGTGCTCCCTGTATAAAGGACTGGCTTTCTCAATGGAGGCTTCTTTGTACTCTATGAGACCTATGGGATGCTCTGCTGACTTCTCATATTCCTGCACTTCTACATACTGTTCTTTTTGAGGTCTTCTGTTGTACACCACTCCTTCTGGTCTGTGGTCTTCATGTTGGACCACCTGCTGAGGCCTCCTATTATACACCACCTCTTCTTCTGACTTGTGCTCTTCATGGACCACCTGGGGTCTCCTGTAATCCTTTTCTCTGGATTTTTCATAGTCCACATACACAACCTCCTCTGAACTTCCAGGTCTCTTTTCTTTGCTCTGCTCATATTGGTCAACATAAACCACTTCTTCACTTTGTGGCTTAACTTCAACTTCATTTGAAACTTGGACCTTTTCATACTTGGGGGTAGTTTTAGATCTTGTTGGTCCAAAACTTGAATAGAGGGAGAGAGAGAGAAAGAGGAAAGGGGTTTATGCATTTTGGTTTTCAGCACTTTTGAAAATGTTTACTTACCTGGCAAGGTCAAAGTTGCTGAGGGATTTCCCACCTTCATAGGATTCAGGTTCCTTCTTGGGCACCCCATAAGACCCAAAAACTTGAACTTCAGCAGATTGTTGGTTAGGTGCTATGTAATGAGGTCTTGGTTGAGGCTTTGGTCTGTAAGCTGGCTGAGGCTTGGGGAAGTTGAATTCAATCTTTGGTGGTGCATAAGTGGGTCTTGGTTTTGGTTGAACGTATTCTGGCTGAGGCTTTGGCACATATGGACGTGGTTTTTCCACCTCTTGGTGGACTTCCTCAACATAGTTTTCTTCTTCAGGAGAATCCTCATCCTCTTCCTCTTCAAAGAGTTCTTCTTCCTCTTGGGATTCTGGTTGATGGAATCCAAAATGTTGCACCTCCTTCTGAGGCTTGTAAGTGGGTCTTTGTTCAATATTATACCTGACCTGTTGGGGTCTTTCATAGACTTTGTATTCATGTGAAACCTTCTGCTTTCTGTAGGCACCAAAAAGGTCCTGGGATTGTTCTTTGAAGCTTGGTGCTCCAAACACTTGGGAAGTATGTTTGGCATAGTTTCCAGCATAGTTTTCAGTTGCCTTGGGTTTCTGGTAGGGCTTTGGTGCTGGTTTGTAGGGTTTGTATTCAATCTTGGGTCTTGGTTGCTGGTACTCCACCACTTCTACATATTTCTTGGGCTCTTCAATATACACTGGCTTTGGGGTGGGTCTGTAGGGTTCTGGTGACTGATATTGTCCATTTTCCTCACTGCTGGGCTCTACAATTCCTTCAACAATGTATTGTGGTCTGGGCCTTGGTTTAACTTCATACTCAATCTTGGGTGGCCTTGGTTCATACCTCTGGGGTTTCACTTCATACTCAATGGAATGAGATTCTGGCCTGGGCTCATACTTCTGTGGTCTTGCTTCATACTCAATGGACTGTGGTTCTGGTCTGGGCACCTCATACTTTGGTGGTCGCACTTGATACTCAACAGAGTGTGATTCTGGTCTGGGTTCATACTTTTGTGGTCTCACTTCATACTCAATTGAATGTGATTCTGGTCTTGGCTCATACTTCTGTGGCCTAACTTCATACTCAACGGATGGTGGTGGGGCAGGTCTTGGTTCATACCTCTGGGGTTTGACTTCATATGTGATTGTAGGTGGGGCTGGTCTTGGCTCATACTTCTGTGGCCTCACTTCATATTCAATGGAAGGTGGTGCTGGCTTTGGCTCATACCTTGGGGCTTGAACCACATACTCCACAGATGGTGGAGTTGGCTTTGATGGTTCATACCTTTGTGGCTTCAGCTCATATTCAATGGATGGTGGGGCTGGTCTTGGTTCATACTGCTGAGGTTTCACAGTGTACTCCACTACCTTTGGCCTTGGAGATGGTTCATACCTCACTGTAGGAGTATATGCAGGCTTGTAGGTGACCTTAGGGGTGTAACTGGGTACCACAGGGG